CTCTATCTTATGAAGAAAATACTATCGTATATTTGAAGACATGTCAAAAATTTGGTGGAAATAAATTGTGTCACTCCTGATTTGACCTGCAAATGTTCAGGTAAGTTATCACAAACAATTTCAGACAGTTCTTTGATTATGACTATTTCCTGACCATGAAGACAGGTATACAGGGATAATAAAGTCAATCGGACTCGGAGATATTTCACTAGCAATCAACCCATCAATATATTTTTTCAAAGTTGTTGACCTCATTTTCACCAAAAATGCAATCATTTTAACAATGTTTAATGCATTACTATTCTTTATTTTTATATATCAAATAGGTCTTGAAACGAAAACTGAATTCTCCTAAGATTAGTGTTCCCCATGTTATTTCCCCTTTGAAAAAATTCATGCTATCCATTGGTTTCAGTTCATTTTGGTCATCCAAATTCAGTGTCTTTAAAGTCCCTGGAGCAATCCACTTTTCCTCTTAGGAAATAGAACATGTCTCAAAGCATATTCTAATTATGCATTCAACAATATAATTAAAGGTTGCATCTTTGGTAAAAACTAGGTCATCATTTTTAGTAAAAAGTATGTTGATTGGGCCATTCCCTTTAATATCACTTAGGTCTGATTAATCATTATATTTACTTTTCTTGAAGATAATGAATAGATCTAAAAGATATACCTATGTTCATGGTCAGAAAATATTCATAATTCAAGTTAGAATTGACCTTTTTCCATATATTAAATGAAAAATAGATGGCATCATGGGTATTGGTAGAGCTTGGGTAGGGCTAGAATACATGTAAATGTATTACCAGAGTCACTTAATTTCTTGATTAAAGAAGTAATTCCATTTGGATCAACTTAAAACATCATTGGAATGTAACTTTATGATCTTATTGACATGTGGATTGTGATTTCACATTAAAATTGTGATCCTTGGAAGAGTAAATGAACTTTTTAAGGTTTTTCAGCATTGTGTCAATGGGGATTTAGCCCAACCTTTTTTAGACAACCAGTAAATCATTAGAATTTGAATAATGGTAAATTACAGTGCTAATCAAAGTTGTTTTGATAGAGAATTACTCACAGAATTCAAATATGCCATCAGATGGAAGAAAACATTAGTTTTAATGCTTAAAAATGCAGATCTCCTAAAATCTCATTAAAAACAAGACCTTAACGAGATTTCAAAACTATATGGAAAAAGGACCATTGTCTGAAGTTATTTGTGATAACCTACATGCTCCTTTATAACATTATTATGTAAATACTATCAAATGCTTTAGTTGACAGTACAGTGTGATGCAACATCGGTGGGAAAGTCATCTTTGGTTAATAAAAAAGATTCTTAGCTACTTTTCTAACATCTGGCTGTGATGCAGCATGGCTTAATGAGGACTCTGCTATATGGTCAGATGATGAGAACTAACAGTTTTACGGAACTTTTGCCATGTTTTGCACATTGTAAATGACCCTTCTGAATGGGTTGTAAAGGTACACTCCCCTCCATAAGTTTGGCAACCTTTTTTCCCCCATTGAACTACATGTTAAATAGTGGAGCAACGATTGACTTGTGGACTCGAATACTACTCGCCAAACCCTGTAAATACGATTCATCGATTGGTAAATTCTGACTCGAATTGAAAAAAAAATGAAAAAAATGATGAAGAAAATGTGATTTACCCATCTTTCAACCGCAATTTACATAAAAAAACACATCCAATGTACAACAATTCTGTACAATGTTTAGCAATGATGCCTTCCTTAATATATAGCATTGTAGTTTGATACCTTAACTGGAATAATAAATCAAATACGATAGGCTTTCTCGTGTTTGTTTTTATTTATTGATTACATCCGGTTGCGCATGTGCAATGCAATATTTAACGAGGTCAAACCAATTAGCGTAAATTGCTAAATTATTTAATTTTCAATGCAAAACAAGAACATATAAAGTGTATTGAGTTATTCTATTTGAATAATTTGATGGGTATGTTGGAGGTATTCAAGGTAGGTTGAGCCGAGAACACTTGAAAACATTGCTACCGGAAGTGAAAGTTTGTAACTTTCCGAAGAAAGTTTTTCTGAACTTTTTTCCAAAATCATTCATTTTAATCGCGAATAAATCGAGTGTTCAAGAGCCTCTACTCGAGTAGGATAATTCACACGAGTCCCACCACTAGTGTTAAAGCCTCTTTACCTTTGAATTTTTATTTACTTAACCTGCGATGAAAATATTTATACTATTGATGGAAACGTAATTTGACTTTAATTCCAATAACTTCAAATTTTCTCAATTTTTTTCCTTAATTACAATAGGTCGAAAATTGACAATGAATTTGAAGAATTTTTGAAAATCGACATTCCCATGTTAACCAATAGGAAATGGTAGGTTTGCCGCAAGTCATATGACAGAATATCCATCCATCCGAGTCCTTGCAAAAATACGAGTTAGGCAGGCAATTGAATTTGCTAACTTTATTAAACAAAAAATTGATATGTTTCTTCAGGTTCAACAAAGTTATAGGGCTTTAAAGTCAAAATTGTTCTTCAAAAAACCTCTCCCATTGAAATAACACAGGAGGCGAAAAATTATTTTCAAACATGACTTTGAAGCGCTGTAACTTTAATATTCATCAAATAAACTAAACACTTAGTGTTAAAAAAAGTTAGACAATTCAATTTTCTATATAAAAATATTTTTTGCTGAATCTTTTACTGAAAAGATATCCTGATTTCTGATTTGCCACGAACCCTCCATTTCCCATTGGATTACATGGGAATGACGATTTTCAAAAATTCATCAAATTTATCATCAATTTTCGACCTATTGTAATTGAGGAAAAAAATTGAGAAAATTTGGAGGTATTGGAAATAAAGTCAAATTACGTTTCCATCAATAGTATAAATATTTTCATCGCAGGTTAAGTAAATAAAAATTCAAACGTAAAGAGGCTTTAACACGTAGTTCAATGGGGAAAAAAGGTTGCCAAACTTATGGAGGGGAGTGTATATACCAGGAGGTATATATGGCTCAAATGACTCGTGCCCTAGTACATGGGGCACTGTAGTACATTACTTGTGCATGATGACCACCATAGTCTAGCTGCTCAAATGAGATCAATTGATGATTATAATGTTTAGACTTTATGTCAATGTCCTCTCTAGTATGTGATTACACTAGATTTCATTATGATACATGTACTAAATTGAAAACTTACATATAAAATATCTAAGTCCTATATTCTAGTAATAAATGAATTAGAATGTCACCTAACATTTGATGATGGTATGAATTTATTGATTTGGTGTCTATCAATACATGTTTCTAACTTAATGCTGCAAAATGATTAAATTCACCACATCCACTTTCTTCATTTTTCCAGGGGTAGGGCACTATAAAGTCATATTAAAATTACAAAATAGTACTTCATAACTAAAATAGATGTATTACAATACCCCATATAGCCTGGAAATGTTTTTAGAATACTACTATGAGCTGTTCAAGCTGTCATATTTTGCTTGAAGCTACAAATATAAAATTGGCAAGACAAAAATTGCGTATCTTTTTCCTGTTTATTGTATTTTTTCTGAGACCAATAAGGGTATCAACCTATAACTTTAGGATAGTATTCATATTTGTACTAGCAATGTATGGTGTACAACTCAGAACTATAGCTCATATATCCTTTGAGTTATGAACTAGTTTCATAGTACCCCCTAGAATATTTTCCTAGGGGGGTAAACATGCCAAAATTCAGTGTCGTGACCACCCCGTTGAGCTGTCATCTTTTAATATCTTTATCAGCATGAAAAACTGATCGAGTAAAAATAGGTCTGTTGCTTTTTCTAAAAAATGCCTCAAAAACTTGAATTCTATCAGAATTGGAACCTGTCTAACATTTTTAGAGGCAGACAATCGATTAGACATCTAATGGAAATTTGAATGTGTATACCCTGCCACCCCTGCAAAATAATGAACTTGGTCCTTTGGATCCACTTGCAAAATATATATGACCGATTTACCTTTCTAATCTATATTTCCAAGAAATTTTCTTCTTACTCTATAGCCAGACACCAGATAGTTTGCAGAAAATGACGCACGACTACGTAATAAATACGAACGGTCACTTCACATTATTTATACGAACGTAATATTGTAAAATATTAATACGCCGCCCGATCGGACAGAATGAACGGAGTTAATGATCAGCCCATTTTTGATAAAAAAAATTCAACAAACCTTAGAAGATTTATTTTTTCAAGAAGATGTTTACCATTGCATTGCTAAATGAATAGAAATCTAGTCTAGACGCAGACAATTTTGGTTTTCCAAGTTCATGTCCAAACTCGAGCAATTCATGAGGTGTCCATGTTTGTGCTAGGCCTACTAGTATGTTCACTTAGAGAGTCTACATCTACATGTAGTCGTACCACTCTCAAATTCAACTCCAGCAATTCAGGATGTTTCTCCTATGTTTCTCCCATGTTCAGTGATTGTTCACTGTCTCAATCTCAAATCTACATTATGCCCTAAGGTAGAAAGCAACAAAGCAGGCTCTTCTCTCTTACTCCAGTACTGAACATAGGGCTTAGGTGACCAAACCTTATTTTTACAGAGGTAAAGTAATTTGCTTTTATTTTGTCCCGTGTTCTTTTGTGCTCGAGCATCACAACTAGCGCTAAATTAATATTTATGTTATTGTGTTATTAAAGTTATTTTATTTTTGGTTATTTTTACGCTTAGTATTGTAGATCAATCTTATGTTGTTATTTTACCTTATTGTATTATATAATACATTATATATGTTATTGTACTTTAATTTGTATTTTATGTCTGATTTATTTTATAGGGATGACCCATGAAATGTTGTACTTTAATTTGTACTTTATGTCAGATTTGTTTTATCTGGATGGACTAAGGTAGATATATAACAATCCATTTTGATACTCAACTTTTTGGCAATTAAAAGTCCCTGCCCGCATTTAGTAGGCTTAGTTATATCATGGACTTCAAATAACTGGACTGCAATCGCCTTCCCTTGACCAATGAAAACTCCGCATTTAGGGAATTCCCTGAACCTATGTGTGTTATGGTCACGTGACACGTAGTCCTTGAACTTTTCATTGACCACCATTTTGTTTTTTACACGTCTTAAGCGGTGGAAAATCGTCAAGTATTTTGGAAGATTAGGTAGGTTTATGTGAATATATATGTATAACAACAATGCATGCTGATAATTGACACTTATATCTTCTGATCCACATCGATTTCCCGACGATGAATGCTTTTTGTCTTGTTGAATTTTGTAGATCTAAAAATAAACAAAAGTTTTTTTGTTATGAAATTTTAATATCACGACGTCACATATCAAATTAGCCCAAATTATAAGGAATTTTGTACAAATTTCGGAGAGAAGCCTGTTAAGGTAACACACCAAGTCAGCACACCATTACAAAGCTACAGTGTCCTTCTGTGTTAATCCTGAAGGAATAAAGATGTTCTTAACATCTTAAAACCAAATATATTGATTGAAAAACATATGACCGGTTGCCATTTTGGATTTTCCTAAGAATATCCACTCATGTGGAAATCAAATTTTGATGAATTTTGTATGGATTTCGCAGAAAAGCCTTTAGGGGTAGCACACCTAATCAGCATATCATTATAAAGCTAACTTAAAGGTGTCGTTATGTGTTTATTCAAAAGGAATTAGCATCATTTACCACATAAACACCAAATATATTAATTTAAAAAAGTATGACCGGCGGCCATTTTGTATTTTCCTAAGAAATTCAATCATGTGGAAATAAGGTTTTGGGTAAACTTGCACAAATTTCGCAGAGAAGCCTATAATCGTAGCACAATTAATCAGCATATCATTTTAAAGCTAAGATGTCCTTCTGTGTTAATTCTGAAGGAATAAGCATCATTTACCACATAGACACCAAATATATTAATTTAAAAAAGTATGACCGGCGGCCATTTTGGATTTTCCTCTTAATTTATTCATGTGGAAATAAAATTTTTAGGAATTTTGTACGAATTTCGCAGAGAAGCCTATAATAGAAGCACACCTAATCAGCATATCATTTTAAAGCTAAGGTGTCATTCTGTACGTTTATTCTGAAGGAATAAGCATCATTTACCACATAGACACCAAATATATTAATTTAAAAAAGTATGACCGGCAGCCATTTTGGATTTTCCTCAGAAATTCAATCATGTGGAAATAAGGTTTTGGGTAAACTTGCACACATTTCGCAGAGAAGCCTATAATCGTAGCACAATTAATTAGCATATCATTTTAAAGCTAAGATGTCCTTCTGTGTTAATTCTGAAGGAATAAGCATCATTTACCACGTAGACACCAAATATATTAATTTAAAAAAGTATGACCGGCGGCCATTTTGGATTTTCCTCATAATTTATTCATGTGGAAATAATATTTTTAGGAATTTTGTACGAATTTCGCAGAGAAGCCTATAATTGAAGCACACCTCATCAGCATATCATTTTAAAGCTAAGGTGTCATTCTGTGTTTATTCTGAAGGAATAAGCATCATTTACCACATAAACACCAAATATATTAATTGAAAAAAGTATGAACGGCGGCCATTTTGGATTTTCCTCAGAAATTCGTTCATGTAGAAATACGATTTTTAGGAATTTTGTACGAATTTCGCAGAGAAGCCTATAATCGAAGCACACCTAATCAGCATATCATTTTAAAGCTAAGGTGTCATTCTGTGTTTATTCTGAAGGAATTAGGATCATATAACACATATTATTGAAAAAAGTATGACCGGTGGCCAGTTTGGATTTTCTTCAAATGCTCAATGCTGAAATCAAATTATAAGGAATTTTGTTCTAATTAGAAGTCCATGGTTATATATTGTAAGCTTACTGTGCATAATTTTGAAACCTTATCCTAATTTTTTCACAAACCTTTTGTTGATTCTGCAATAGTGTCCAATTGTAAACAGCATTTAGCCTTTTTAATTGGGACATTTTCACCATATTTTCTGTATTGGTAAGCTTAAACATTAACCCACACTGGTGGATTAAGGCCCCAAAAAGTGGGCCTTTTTGGTCATATATGTGCCTTATTTTTTAATTTTAGGCCAAATTTTGAAGAAAATGGGCCTCAAAATTTCAGAACTCAGGACTAAGCTTTTATATACTGACGGACTTAGGCTACTATAAATACGTTGACAGCAGTGAACGAATGGATTGTCCGGCTAGATTGTCCGGCTAGATCTGTTATCTTTATTTCTAAATGTATAGATGTCGTACTATAGGCCTAGTAGTACTGTTATTATACTTATTTGATATTTATCAGTGAATTAAAAAAATACTGATTGGATACAATCGATCACCGTTATATAGTGGTTGGAAAAGTCTTCTGACTGTTGCCTAGGTGTGGATCAACTCCCACTCTATCCTGTTCTTTTTTCTAAACCATATTATTCTGCATAAAATAAAGCTATTCGTTTCCTCGTTTTCATGAGACTATTTTTAATATTAATGCACGTCAGCTTACAGGAGACTATAATTTTTAGTTAATTCTGTCCCTGGGACAGCTTATTCATTAATTTTCTAGATGTACCAAGCGGACTATATTTTCTGGTTGTCTCTGTCCCCGAGGCAACTAGTTATCCTTATTTTTCTAGTTATATATGTCAAAGGGGACTATCCCGTCTACTATAAAAACTGGGCAGTGTCCCATTTGTAGTAAACGTATATACATTGATTTTAAATAACTTATATTAGAATACGTGAGGATATTGGCATGCGTAATTGCACTCGATTCGCTGACTTGAATCATTACTAGAGATATAGCACCATGGGAATTATCACGCCCGTTTGATTTTTTGTTTGTGAAAGAATAAATTCCCTTGGTTTTGGGTGACATAGCAGTATTACATGAACGGTTTTGTATGTCAATTAACGAGCATTTCAATCATACGACCAATTCAAGAAGAAACGGGCGAAATGATTGAAAACGAACATGCACGTTTTTCGTTTCAAGCATTTCGCCGGGGCTTTTCAACCGTTTCAAACATTTCAATCAATACGTCTTGAAAAATAAAATTACTATTTCGCTGCTTTCGCCTGTTTCGCCGTTTCAAGCGTTTCAATCAATTCGCCTGAGCTGTTTTCACATTCTCTTTCATTTCAACCATTTCAAGCATTTCGGCCTTTTCGTCCCCCGTTTCAAGCAATTCGCTTGTCAGTGTATACACCATAGGCCTAATTTGGTATTTAAAGTCCGCCCGGGCATCCAGTTCTAGCAAACGGACTGAAATATCTGAGGAAATATAAGTCCATCGGTCTTGTTATTCTAGATAATATAGTCCCAGACAATATTTTCCAGGACTTCCTTTGGCACTTGTGCTTAGATTTTAACCGGTATTTGAATGAGTACGGTTTTCTGTCAATAGAGGTATGAATAGAAACTCTCAGTCTGTCAGTTTCGAGGTAATATTTGATGTTACCATTTTATAGTAATTGCCCCTTGGAACCTGATCAACTGTCAACCGTTGGCTGCACTAGCCTTGTTGGATCTGTCATCTGTCTAGCTCAATACTAGGGCCAATACTTTTTCTAATATATATTAATGACATTCCAGACAATCTGGATGGTCATTGCTACATTTATGCAGATGATACCTCATTACACCATCCTTTTGACCCAAAACAACCACAACAAATAGAAGCAGTGGTAAAATCCAATCTAATTAAAGTAGAAGAATGGTTTAACACTCGGAAACTTGAAGAGTTCCGAGATGGTTTTCCACTCACCTAGAATAAAAACTGATAATGTGTCAACTTCAAAACTAAACAATGTAGAAATCAAAAGAGATACCGAGCACAAACATTTAGGACTCATTTTTGACCCATGCTTATCTTTGATAAGCATATTGGTGATTAACTAGTCAAAATAAGAAAAATGTTAAACCCATTAAAGAAACTCAAATTCAAGCTTGGGAGCAAGCACCTAGAAACAATCTTCAACTCATTCATTCTTCCTCACTTTGATTATGGTGCCATTTTATATGGCACAGCTTCTAGATTTCTTTTGCGAAGACTCGATAGTCTATACTACACAGCGGCACTCTATTGTTCTGGCTGCATCCAAGGGAGCAGTACAGAAAAGGTTCTAAGTCTCCTAAACTGGCCAACACTTGAATCCAGACGGAGAATACAATCAAATAATTTTATGTTCAAAGTTGCCAATGGTACAAGTCCCTCATATATCACAGACATTTTTGATAAGTATAGTAATGTTAGGAATAGAAACTTGAGATACATTGATCCATTCAAAATGCCCATAAGATGCTCTGCTAGATTTTCATCCTCAATACCTTCTGCAATCTCAAAATGGCTAGAGCTCCCCCCTTCTATTAAAACCAAGAAAACTCTTCATAATTTCAAAAAACACCAACAGCTTTTCCTCCAAAACCCCTCTAAAATTTTGACCACAAGTCAACTCAATCTTTCTAGACGGCATGAGATAGTGGTAAATAAAGTAAGAGCTGACTTATTTTTAAAGCTCAATTGTATGCCCATAATTTTAACTCTGTTGACAGCCCTAGCTAATTGTGCTTGTGGCAGCTCTCAAACCTTAAAGCATATTCTTTTCCAGTGCAATCGCTTAACCTTAGTAAGACAGGATATCTGGGATAAACTTGCTGAATAAGAACCTTCTCTCAATAATAATCTTCCCAGTATGATTTTATCTCCATTTTGAAAACAGGAAGCCCAAACTTAAGCATAGATGTAAACTCGAAAGCCATTTCACTGATACTTGACTTTATTATAGACAATTTAGCTAATTCCCTCCCTCATGTCTCTATCTCTGATATCCTGTTGTCCTGTCACACCTGCTCCGGTCCGGGACCCTGTCTGCCACCCCTAGCCTCTCACCATTCCTATATATAATGCCCTTTGGCGATTTAGGGATGCTATTGTAATTGTATTTTAAACTATATCAATGAAATAAATAATAATAATAAAAAAAATCTGTCTTCTAAGTGAACTAAGTGAAGCTGGTAAATTTGGCATGCATCTTGCTACAAATTACGAAGACAGAGGGAGTGTTTTACTAATTTCGCCAACGATTTCAAAGAATGGGAGCCTAGTCATGCCTGCCAACCCGAGATCAATAATTTGCAGTAGTATTTTGAATTGCGGTATTTTTGCGGTAGATTTTTTCAAAATGCGCTAGTTTTTGCAGTATTTTTCGACAAAATGCGGTAGTTTTACGGTAGATTTAGAAAAAATCGGTAGTTTTTGCGGTATAGTTTCTTGAAACATAAACGTATTTTTTCGAAGGTTTTTGAAAAGTGCGGTAGTTTTACGGTAGATTTTGAAAAAATGCAGTGCTTTGCGGTAGACTTTTAAAAAACAATAGTTTTGCAGAAGATTTAGTAAAATGCGGTAGTTTTCCAGTAGATTTTTGACCTGAACATGTTGTGTTTATGTCGTTTTGTTCCATTGAGATTCGGAAAGATTTTCATTTCACTCTGGAAATATGATACCAAGAACAAAACAAGTGTTTGATGTGTTTTCTTAAACAATGTAGATGAAAATATATATATGCATTTTCAAATTATATTGTTACCATTCAAAAGATGACCATTTAATTGAAGATGTGTTAATTTTTAGATTTTTATGACTGGTTTAAGAGAAACATGTGTTCAAAAGGTTCAACATATCGATACCACTCCTTTGTCGGCCATTTTATCAGCCCTGAAGCACAACGTGCCTTTAACACCCCAGACACATTTGTCGTACGGAGGCCGTGCGTCGACCGCAGATCAATTAAATCAGTGTATTTTTGTGGCGAGCGTAAGAAAACTACGCTCGCCTTACAGCCTCCGTACGGCGTATCCAGTTTTTTACAGGCTGCAGGGTCGCCGTAGAAATTATAACTCGGAGTTATAATATTTGTTCATTTCTGAGGTCCCCGTAGAAATGAAGTGGCTCAACAAGATTGAATCATTATTTTTCAATGTTTCACGATCACTTTTCATTTGACATTACATCCTAGCACTATGAATAACATTTATAAATTGTCCCGATGTATATAAAATGAAAAAAAGTATTATTTATCAACAGAAATTTAAAATTCACCGTGCGGCTGCCGTGGGAAATGTGACTGCAAAAGTATGAGAGCGCAGAAATTCCACGACGAGCGTAGAAATGTTACTGGCCGCAAAAATGATAGACCGCAAGGTCGCCGTAGGAACTGGGGTGTAACTTACTCAGCTACCTTCTCAACTATTTCAACTACCGGATTTTCTCGCATATAAGCCCTGGGCGTATAACTGAAAGAAGGTGTAATTTCGTCTGTTATTTTACCTCTTATTTTTCGCCCATGGGCGTATAAGTGTACTACTACGCCCAGTGGGCGTAAAGGTGAGAAGAGCCATCTTCCTCAAAGACTACCGTACCTACTGTTGTAGTCCTACCGCATGTTTTGTAAGAATCATAAAGGAAATGTCACCTACAACCTGGACTTAATGTTGAAACAAAGTAACAACAGAACGATCCATCACTGCCACTTACGGCACAGCGTTGAACTTAATGTTGAAACAAAGTAACGACAGAACGATCTGCCAGTGACAAAATACTCTTGAATTTATTGAAAAAATCAATAAATAGTCATTTTTTATAGGCCCATGGGCGTATAAGCATACTACATTCGATTTTTGGCCCATGGGCCTAAATTTAGGGGGGCGTATATGCGAGAAAATCCGGTACTTACTCAGCTACCCATCAGCTATTTACTCAGCTACTAACTAAGCTAATTAGAGTCTTGGAGTCTTAAGGTAACTTGTTCAATTAACCCTTCTTGTTGTATCAACTGTTAATGATCAACACATCAGATCAATTGATCAATATGATTTTTTATTTACAAATATAACACAACAATTACATTACAAAGATGCACGTCCTATATGACATGTTTTCATATATAAACATCATGCCTAACAGCATGCATGGAGAATGAAACAAAGTTTGAATAAGAAACATGTTAGAGTAAATATCTACAGTTTTGCTTCACTTTGAAAGCTTTTAAATGATTTTTATAATCGTAACGTACCTGGAAACGATTTTGTGACAATTTGGCTGTACAGTTTAACGATTACTCTATACAATAATCGTAAACATGTCTAGTCGGTTTCTTAAACGTCATTTTCAAATCTTCATGTAATGAGACACTAAATTGAACTGTTATTTTGTTGAAAAGTGTCGGCCAGAAACTTCCATCTCATTGTCTTTTCCACTTTTAAAGATATACATGTGAAACAGTAGCAATTACAGTAGCAAAGTGTTCTCTACAATTATGTGCTGTTCAACATCTTTGACATGACACATATGATCAAAGAATAGTAATAGTACTCAGGGTGTCAAATGGCGTTGTAGCCCCCTCCTTCACATAAAGTAGGTATTCATTATGTATGTCATTGGAAAGAGCATTCAATTCTTGACAACTTAATTCCTAGATGACCAAGGTCATAAATTGCTACAATGTTTCACATGCATTTGAGGTGTACCAGTATATGCTCTTCTTTATTGATATTGAAGAAATCATGCATAGATTTTTTGGTATTTAATATTTCGCTGTAGTGCAAATGGGATCCATATTAAATCGATAAAACAGAGCAACTTATGGAAGCTTTATCCAAAGAAAAGATGTTCAATAGATGTCCTGCACAAGAATCTCAAAAAGTATTGAGATATCTTGATAATTTGAGAGAGACACTGCCCTTTCCCATGCCATTTTAATTTCATATCAAACTATACTGGCAGTCGTTTTAAGATGCTTTAGATGGTAACTCTCACTTTATGTTTTGGATTGGGGACACAATGCCTTTTGATTATCCCGTGCCAAGACTATAGTCCTGCGAACGTCTTATTCTTTTGCCTGTACGATTACAACTTTGGTACGCCCCTTACACTTAAGATACCTACTTCAATAGATTCCTGGGTATTTAAGCATTCTTTTCGTGTTGTTGAATCCCCAATTGTTTGGGCATATCGGCAGAATGGGAACATTTTTCTTTTTCATCGAGAGATATTCCATCACTTTCCAAGATGGCGGTTGGATTTAAAAGGGAATTCCCCGTTTGAGGTGTCACTCCTGTAAATCATTGAAAAATATTGAAAAAAATCACAAAATTCAAGTTCTGGGGTACATATCGCCATTTTCGAACGAACTAGCCCATACAATGACTATATTTCTGCGTTCCCCTATACATAACCTTCATCTTGACACTATATTTAACATAGGGTTTGCGTCTCGATTTTTAACGAATAAAGTAGTTCCGGTTTACGGGACTATATTCTTGCGATTTTTTTCTTAAAATGGCACATTTAGAAAGTACTTGGCCTCAGCTTTACATACATACCTCAAATGGCCACATTGCATACACTTAAACCTACTATACACACCATTGAAGTTGGCATGGCTTCGTTTTTAAAGTATTAAAAAACACTGTCCTACCCGGAAGTGCTATTTACCGGAGTGACACCTTAATATCCCAAAAGGGGAAAATTTGACTACGATATTTTTACTCATTTAGCATTTTTTCAAACAATTGAGTTATTTCATGCTCGAAACAGCTGCATTTCCAAACTTTTAATACGTTTTCTACAAAATCTAGCCATATTTGGGGAAATAGGTGAGGACTGAGTCTCTAAAAACTGGCCAAAATGACCTAAAATTGGGTCATCAACTTCAGAGATCTCATGCAAAAATTTTAGACGCAAAATCTCAGAGATTATTTCATTTTGTCAATCTTTATAGTAATGCCTTTCAAGTATTACACAGAATGAACTGAAATGTATGTTGCTAAATGCAAATATTTTGAGTCAAATGTGGTCCCCATGTGCAAAATTTGCCCCTTTTCTCCTAATTACGCCATTTAGGCCCCAGTGTATTGTGACATCATACTCATACCATTGCTACAATGTAGCAATTTACAAATTAATCTTGTTTACTCTTCCTGTGATACACCCGGCGTGTTTATTAAGCCTGTAAAAATGATAATTTGCAACATTGTAGCAATTTAAATGAGGTACGGAACCTTAAAATCATGTAATTTATGGAGAAATAACCAGCAATTTTGATGGAATTCCAGTTGATTTTCTCCCATTTATGACCCCTTTGGACCCCGTTTGGCCATTCTGATAGGCACAGGAGTTTAAATGTGAATTAAAAGCATTGTGTGGCCTAGCCTGAATGTAAATATCGACTCTATGTTGAAATTCTACAACATCCATGGTCTCTGCGCAAATGGAAGCCAATCTAAGGCTGGGGTATTAAGGTGTCACTCCTGTAAATCATTGAAAAATATTGAAGAAATCACAAAATTCAAGTTCTGGGGTACATATCGCCATTTTCGAACGAACTAGCCCATACAATGACTATATTTCTGCGTTCCCCTATACATAACCTTCATATTGACACTATATTTAACATAGGGTTTGCGTCTCGATTTTTATATATCACTACGCCAACATAGGGACTCATTTTCAGGTAAAATCCCTGCTTCACCGATGAAAATTAACGAATAAAGTAGTTCCAGTTTACGGGACTATATTCTTGCGATTCTTTTCTTAAAATGGCACATTTAGAAAGTACTTGGCCTCAGCTTTACATACATACCTCAAATGGCCACATTGTATACACTTAAACCTACTATACACACCATTGAAGTTGGCATGGCTTCGTTTTTAAAGTATTAAAAAACATTGTCCTACCCGAAAGTGCTATTTACCGGAGTGACACCTTGACCCGGAAGTGGGCCGGATAACCAATAAATGGAAGAATTTGACGGTTGAAATAAGTTAAATATTACACGCAAATATTGCGATCAAAAACGAAAATTTCTTTGTTCTGCCGATAAACCCAGACAATTGTGGATTCAACTACACGAAAAGAATGCTAAAATACCAAGGAATCTATTGAAATAGGTATCTTCAGATCTTAAGTGTAAGAAGCGTAGAATATTCTCCCATGTTGTAATCGTACAAGCAAAAGAACAAGACGTTCGCAGGACTATAGTCCTGGTACGGGATAACCTTTTGACACCCTGTATGTAGAAGTGCTCTCTACTTTATTTTGTCTGATCAAGCCTTATATTTCAGTTTTTTCCATTTCAAATCATGTATCTTGCTGCAAAAATGCAATTACCTCCCCATGTTTAGATTCAATACCTACGAAGGCGGAGGCGAAGAATCAACGTTCATTTTGAATCAGATGGCTCTTCTTGTTCCTTTAAACAGAATTACCAAGTTCTCTTTGATAATCCTCGTTTTTCTTTCGTTTTGAATAAACTTTTCTCGCCAATGTATTTATTTTCTTTTCTTGTTGTACATTTAACCTCTGAAGTTGAATATTGACCTCTTGGACTTCGATATTCTCCTCTTTAAGTCGAATCTTTTCATCTCTCAGCTGAATTATCTCCTTTTGTAGTTGTTCTATCTCATTATCACTGCCATTGTCCATAGGTGGCGCAACGGCAGCATCAACTGATTCTGTAAGTAAGGACATTATACTTTACCTGAAGCAAGCCTATATTGTAACGTGTACATGGTCATTCATATTAAGTATTTTATAAAATGGAATCATTCTAAATACCCAAAGAAAGACTAGGCTCGTAGATGAGATATTAATGACAAATCAAAACACAGGCCAATTCAATTCTCGATATACAATGGGATTTCAAATTTTCGGTGATTATGTTATGTTATCTCTAAACTTGTTAATACATTTTGTTGTTGCGGGCTCCTATAGCGATTGTTTGAACCAATGAAAGTGCATTTAAGAGAAAACTTCTCAAAGAAATCATGTCCCTCCCGACCATCAAAGGAGCACTAGTGAACGTGATACATTTAAGATAAAATCTTCATTTTCAAATGTAAAAATACCAAAATGCGGCTTATAAATCAATGAACGATACTTTTGAACACTGACATAATTATCTCAAGTATCAGAATTCATGCAGTGATACGAAATTTTGTCTGTTGGGTGCTTCAATCATGCAAATCTTACTCACTTATGTCAATTTTGTCTCTGCGCTCCTGAATTTGTTGTTTCTTCTTACAGATCGATGCAGGCAGTATTGCCAAGGCCACCACTTTGAGGGGTTGCATGATCAATATACTGGTAAAGATGGAGGTCAATACTGAGACAACCCACTCAATGCTCATCTGGCAGCTATACTTCAGACCATATAATATGACGAAGTAGGAAGCCGGCAGGCAGATTAGGATGCTTACTGTCCAATTGATAATCATGAACCACCACGGAAGCCTAGAAATAAAACCCAGATATTTTACGGAAAATTAGTAATAAAATAGCCAGAGAACAAATAATAAAAAGTAAATAATATTTAGATATTGATATAAATATATGCTTTCTCGGCGTTCTAAAAAACTAAGATTTGAATGGTACAGTACATACTCGGGAGAATTGTCCATGACATCACATTTAAATCACCTTCCTAGATACATTCTTTGTATGTAGTTGAATCCCCAATTGTATCGGAAGAACGAGGATTTTTTGTTTTTCATCAAGAAAAATCGCACACTTTTCAAGATGGTAAATAGGAATCCTAAAAATGACCTACGGGTCTCAGTGGGTCTATTGCTGCCGAACCCGGATATACGAATAGATGGAGGAATTTGACGGCTGACATAACTTAAAGAATACGCAAGAATTGCTATTAAAAACGAAAATAATAAACCCATAAAATTGGAAATTCAACTAGGCTATATAAAAAATGTCAAAATACCCAGAAATGCATATATGTAGGTGATTTGAGTGAGTACGACTTTGAAAATTCTCCCTAGCTGTATTTCATTGACTCTTACGTATTAGTAAGGTCGTAGTTTATAAATAGAATTACTCGATGACACCACTTTAAGTATAGACTGAAGGCCACACTTCAGGTCCCACTTGTATTTAAACAGCATGGACATACCCAACTGGCTGTTCCTTTTTCACTTGAAGTTCAATGTCACTGTTTCTATATCCTTCACCTGCAAGAGCTTTGTCAACCTGTTGTTTCCATGTCTCCAAGAAAACATTCCCGCTTCTATGCACAGGTATTGTTGTCGTAATTGTTGTTGATTTTGTATCTTCTACGCCAGGATTAGGCTGTGATGGCCTGAAGCGAAACACATAGTTGTGGGTGATCTAAGTGGTAGGCATATTTGAAATATAACCCGATTCCCATTCCATTTCCATTCAAAATTGATTGTTGCCTTTGATGGAGTCGGACGAAAGAAATACTGTATGTACGTTTATGCTTAAAAACGTCATGCTATTTCAGTGTGCAAGTTTAGCATTGTTTTCCCATTGATCATTTGAGTTCTCACGTCAATATTATATGGAAATAAAAATGATAAGATGTCAAAAAGAGTAGTTTACTTTATTGTAAGAAATCAAAAATAAAATAAGGTTTGGGCAGGAAGGAACAGGTGAAATCCTTGGGATACATGAATTAATTAATTGTACGAAACATATTCATGTTTCTACAATTTAGGGTAACCCTGTGTTTTATTCTACTGGGACTGGTTATACCGGTGCAAAATATTACAAAAATATTTCAGAAACAAGTCAAATTCTTTACTTCAGAGAATATTTTTAATTTATTGAGACTTTCGACTAATATCCCTTAGTCTTTTTCAAAATATAACAGCATGTATACATTTATGTGACGTCATAAACAGACAATGGAAAATTTAATTATGTAACAAATGACCTAGTAACCTAAAAAATAACAACAACAAAAAACATAGATACGAAAAAACGAATGACCTAATAATAACCTTAAGATAAATATATCATCGTTATGGTAACAATTAAACTCAAATATTACTATTGCATACTTTGCTATACCATTCTTAATTTACAATATTTTATGATACAAATTGTCCAACTGATACCCATTATCTCTGTTCATTTTAGGTTGCATTGTTTTAATATTAATTGCTTTAATTTATGAATTGAATTTAATTCTCTGAAGTAAAGAATTTGACTTGTTTCTGATATATTAACCAGAGAGATGAACTTACATAGAACTACAAAAATATTATTTACTTATTATCATAATTCAATGTGACAATATCAGTCTTATCTTCGAATTTGTCTATAATAGTTTGCCTGTAATGTTGGGCAAGCCGTCTTTTACGTTGATTGTATAAGATGTTGATTTTGCAAAGCTCTTATGGGCTAATTCTACAATATGTACTGTAACATATATGTAAGGGTGCCAGTATGTAGTCCAGTATATAGTAAACAAATGAGTATTTTGGTCAACTCAATACATCTGATAAACACTACATGAAGTGTTTTCTATGCAATGATTATATACAGGCACTTATTCATTGTTACTGTGAATTTCAAAAGCCTCCAAATTGTGTGGAATAGAGCATGCAATGTTTTTCAGTTTCTCAAGCAGGTTTTAGTACATTCTGACCAATTGTATTTTCAGACTTATTCATTTCATGATTATGTAATACTGACCTACTTATCTTTAACTTTACCTTATTGTGGGTGAGCTTTCATTTGCTAATATGGGATCTGATCTTGTCATCTCTGATAAGTCTATTTTAAAAGGCTTTGCGGTCGATTGGTTTGGCGTAAAGAACATTCTGTTTTGTTTGTATACAGGTTCAGCTTCATCATATCTAATCACTATATTATCTATAGGTTCAGGAGAATCAGTGGAATCACTTCTAGGAGTTGTATTCATAGATTCATAACCTTCCTCGGAATTGAAATCCGCAGATATATTGTCATCGTCAGCATTATTCTTAGAAGTTCGAGGTTTCGCCTTGGTTTGTCTAAATAGCTGCTCGATGATCAAAATTACTGGGAACATAAGGAGACTGCCCCATAAGCCTATTACAATAGCAGATGATGAGAAATGAATCGGCCCAATCTGCTTTTGATCTCCGGGGTCATCCTTAGGTCTTCCAAATAAACAGACTCTTGTCAACATATGACTTAATATCAATGTGAATACACATGTGGTACGCTGTACTCGTGTGAAGTGACTTTCTGGAGGTTTAGAGAATATACTCAACCATAGATGATTGTCGAGCATGACCTTACTGATTCGTCTTATGAATGAATCCCACATTTGTTGGACACGTTTTTCGTTCGTTGCACGTATTGTGTATGATGTAGCAAAGTCTTCCTGATTTGCAGCCATCCATCTATTACACATGAATTCCCAGGCTTGGTCTTTCTGTAGATCTCTCACAATAACTTCATTGAGATACCTGGAGGACAAATGACATAACATAAGAACGTGATTATTTTCATTATTTACTAGCAATGAAATGAGAGTACATACATGTATATGGGCCTTTTTACGATAAGTGGTACATCGGGGAAAATCGCGGAACCGGAATTTGAAACATAAAATGGCGATGATATTTAAGGAAAAATAATTTATTTTACGATTTTGTGTGTGGCATTAATGTATCTTATGTCCTTTTGTATATTTGGGAAGATCCTAGTAAATTTGTACCCGGGGAAATGATCTGTCTTCTCTTCAACATGATTGCTATCTGAAATAAACTAGGCAAGAGCACTATTTGCATTGCAGTAGTTTTTGGCAATGTATGTATTAGCAATATATGCTTATTCCTAATTCGACCAATATTTCGGAGGATACAAATCAAATTTGACAAATAATACGTAGTAAAACATATTTAGAATGTCAAGTAAAAAAACGCATTGTATCATTAATACTTTGGAAGATATTAAAGTTACGCACTTGATAAATGAGTAAATAAGAAGTTGAAGTTTATGTTTAGCCATAAAAATCATCCTCAGATCACATAACTTCAAAATCGAGAATATATTCTTTCTTTTTACCCCCTGCGATAAGTAATTAGCATTTCCCCGATTAAGAACTCGCAATCTGATTGGCTGTCGCAACACTGCGACAGAAATCATGTATACGTCATTGCGCATAATTATATCACGTGATTCAGTTTAATCGGGCGCTTCCAAATTGGTTATAGCAGGGGGAAGAAGGAGGTAAGGATTCCGGATACCTGTTCAGGAGGATGATAAAAATCGATTCTTTGTTTTTGTCAAAAATCAATTTTTGAACTTAATGATACTTATACTAGTATCCACACAAACATCGCAGACGTTAAGAAATTATCATTTTGATCAATGTTGAATAGTCGGGTTTGAATAGGAGATAAGTTCACAGAATATTTCAAAAATATATAGAAGCAATATTTAGGTGGATTTCAAAACTTCATACATGTACCATCCTTTTGAGAACCTGAAGTGGCACCAAGCAATCCATTGACCGTTTCACCAAAAATCCAAGATGGCTGCCACAATGTATCGGCAAATCACTACAATTGACTAATATCATCATTTAATTTGTCAAAATAGTTAAATACTGATGAAACATGACTAATCATAGTACCTATTAGATGGTCATATGCATTTAAAGTCACTAGATTATTTTTGTGTAAAAACTGGAGTCCCACAAGGCTCAACTTTATGTCCCCTACTTTTTTAGTCCAATGACTTTCATTGACCATAAAATTTGTACATTGCAATGTATAGAAATCCATTTTTGTAACTTGTGCACCTAGGACCACATTTCACCTTGCACCCACACTTGACCAATGCTTGGCATGGCTTAGCTGCTTGAGGAAGAGATGTACATAGTGGCATCAGGAGGGACATGTCATACTGCCAGCCACATGTTGTGAACTCGATAACCATTTTGGTTATGGCACCAAACTATACCGCCTAGGTTAGCAAGTTAAGATTATCTGTGCAAGGGCTCCTTTTGTTGCTGGTTTTTGTCAATGACTGTATGACCGTTACAGAACATTAGCCTTCGTGCTGCATTGATATCTCTCTGGTAGCTGGTTCGATCATATAATAAAACAGTAAAATGTTCCAGGGACTGAATGGCTTGAACTGACAAAGGCAGGTTTGTTGTAACCATTTGTGCCACTTGTAGAAAAGCTGGAGTAACTTCCTTGAACACATTCCATAGATTGAAGGGCAGATTCTTTGCTATGGCCAAAGAATGGTGCAGTTATATTATATAATTTAATACCTGTAATTTTTGAGAGGTCCGAAGGCAATCCAGATTGACACCTATTGCGCCCTAATGCTGCAACCATGGCAAGAAAAAGGACATCAGTATCTCCACTTCTGATTATGAAGTATTTTTTACCCTCTGAGGTCATCTGTTTTATATGAACAAAGAGCCTAGTGTCAGCTTTTTCATGAGTAAAAGGTTCAATCATTGCTGTATCTGGCAATTGAGGAAAGCACTGAAGAGATTCCCAAATAGTAGTTATCATTTGCATTTCATTAACATCAACCTCAGACATAAAGTTGGCCAGGAATACCAGCAGCCTAGTCTGGTTCCATTGGTTGTTAGAAAGGCTGGCCAATTCTTTGGCATTTGTGCATCTCTGCATAAATCATGCTTCTAGCACCAGTGCCACGATAAATCCTTGTTAGAGACTTCTCACTGTTTTGTAGGTAAACATTCCAGACAACATTTAATCTTGGAACACCTTCAATAAGCTGCCTTAACTTGGGATTAAACACCAGAAAGGGGCAGTCTATTAAAACTGCATCTGCAGTTGGCTTTTCCAATACTTTGGGTCCATCTGGCTTAGTTTCTAGGCATTTAAGTAGGTCATTTAGTTGTAGGTCTCATGGCTCCATGCTTAGCTAGGGATGGCGGGAACTCATGGTTTTCATGTTTGAAAAACTCAGACATGCTATGTGTCCTGATTGTCAAAGGCAAGCAATATAGAGAATAGCAAAAAGGTAATTTTCTTCTCTCAGTTCCTTGACCTCAGGAATCACTGCAGATGATTCTTTGTTTTTTCTCCCTAGACCACACCAACTAACTATGCATGCAAGTGAATCCTGAAGTCAAGGATCTGAGAAATGATTATGACCCTTTTGCTACACTACATTGCATGCCGATCAAGAACCAATGACATATCTGAGTTTTTTAAATATGAAAACCATGAGTTCCCGCCATCCCTACATAACCACGGAGCCATGAGACCTACAACAAAAGCAGACTTACTTAAATGTCAAGAAGCTAAGCCAGATCGATCTGAAGTATTGGAAAAGCCACCTGCAGATGCAATTTTAATAGATGGCATCCTTCTGGTCCATGTGATGCATCCTGGTGTGGCTACCAACTTACAAGAATATGGTACCAATGTCTCATCCCAAGTTAAGGCGGCCTATTGAAGGTGTTTCAAGATAAGATGTTATCTGTTAACTATAAAACAGTAGGAAGTCCCTGACAAGGACTCATTGTGGCAATGGATGGTTTATGCAGAGAATGTGATGCCCCAGAATTGGTTAAGCTTTCTAAGAAACAACCAGAACAAGACTGAGCTGTCCAACTCTATTTTTGAGGCTGACGTTAATGACTATTGTGGAATCTGTTAAGTGCTTTCCTCAGTTGCCAGTTACAGTAATGATTGAACCTTGTACTCATGAAGAAGCTAATGCTACACTAGACTCTTTGTTCAGGTAAAACAGATGACCTCAGAGGGTAAAAAAGACTTCATAAACAGAATCAGTGGAAATACTGGTGTAGTTGTTCTTGCCATGGCTGCAGCATTAGGGTGCAATAAGTGTCAATCTGGATTGCCTTCTGACCTCTCAAAAATTACATGTATTAAATTATATTATATAACTGCACGATTCTTTGGCCATAGCAAAGAATCTGCCCTTCAAGCTATGGAATGTGTTCAAGGAAGTTACTCCAGCTTTTCTACAAGTAGCACAAATGGTTACAACAAACCTGACTTTGTCAGTTCATGCCATTCAGTCCCTAAAATGTTTTACTGTTCTAGTATATGATCGAACCAGCAACCAGATAGATATCAATGCAGCACGAAGGCAAATGTTCTGTGATGGCCATACAGTCATGGATAGAATGCCACCAACAAAAGGAGCCCTTGCACAGAAAATTTTAAGAACTTGCTAACCAAGGTGGTATTGTTTGGGGCCAACTGTACAATCTCAATCCAACATGGGTATCAGAGTTCACAACATGGGGCTGGCAGTATGACATGTCCCCCCTGGTCCCACTATGTACATCCCTTCCTCAAGCAGCTAAGGCATGCCAAGCATTGGTCAAGTGTGGGTGCAAGGTGAAATGTGGTCCTGGGTGCACAAGTTACAAAAATGGATTTCTATACATTACAATGTACAAATGCCATTGTCAATGAGAGTCATTGGACTAAAAAAGTAGAGACATAAAGTTGAGCCTTGTGGGACTCCAGTTTTCACACAAAAATAATCTAGTGACTTTAAATGCATATGACCATCTAATAGGTACTATAATTAGTCATGTTTGATCAGTATTTAACTATTTTGACAAATTAAATGACGATATTAGTCAATTTTAGTGATTTGCCGATACATTGTAGCGGCCATCTTGGATTTTTGGTGAAACAGCCCTTCCTCAAGCAGCATGCAAAGCATTGATCAAGTGTGGGTGCAAGGTGAAATGTGGTCCTAGGTGCACATGTTACAAAAATGGATTTCTATGCATTGCTTTGTGCAAATGCCATGGTCAATGCAAAAAATGCAAAAAAGTAGCGGACATAAAGTTGAGCCTTGTGGGACTCCAGTTTTCACACAAAAATGATCCAATGACTTTAAATGGATGTGAATTTCTGATAGGTACTATTATTAGTCATGTTTGATCAGTATACAACTATTTTGACTTATTAAATCATAAGTTTAGTCATTTTTATGATTTTTTGATACATCACGGCGGCCATCTTGGATTTTCGGTGAAAAAGTCAATGGATTGCTTGGTGCCACTTCAGGTTTTCAAAAGAATGGTATGAAGTTTTGAAATCCACCTTAAAATTGCTTCTATATATTTTTGAAATATTTTCACCTAAATATTCCTGACTAGAAAGACCCTCATATTGCATCATGATAAACCATGACATCTCATTTCTTCTCAGCCCTGAGATTCAGGTGAAACAGAAAGATGCTATGGGTATCAGAATGCTCATATTGCATCTCAAGTAATTTTTGATAGTTTGTTTAGGAAATTTTTGTTGAGAAACGATCATAAGCAAGTGCTATAAATATGAAAATAGTTCAGTCGCATATAATGCAAGTATTCTAAAATTAAATACACCATGCCAAAATATTTAATAGCAATTGATAAGCCACTTATTTCAGTCTGAAAGAAGCTTTTTGTAGCAGAAATATGCTTTTGTGTATTTTTCAATCAATATCGTCTCCAATGACATGATTATTCTTTCCTTAAATACAAGTTGGATGTAGTGTGTAGTGCATTGTTGTACTTGAGTCGATTTACAGTGACGTGACTCTAATCATTGTATTTAATTATTTACAATTTATCTTCCACCAAACATTTTACCTTGAAACAGTTTTCAATAATACCTCATCGCTTATAAGGCTTTGTTTACCCCTCTGAGCTGATTTTTTTGGACAAAACGTACTGTATTTAAAAACAGAAAAATGAAACAAATTAACAAACCCGACACACAAAAAGCTGTTTTTGAGACTGACATATGGTATAACCCGATATCCTGCACAAACGCTGTGAAGGTCTCATTGTACAGCTCTGATACTGGATTCACTGACATGCGTTTTTGAATTTGTCAGTGCTTACATAATATTCGACTCGATTTATCAAAGTTCATCAAGAATGGACGATCTTTCACAGGTACTCACACAAGAACCTTTATTTCTCATATTTGTACAAGTTGCTAATGATACCATGATACTACTTTATAGAAACTTTCAATAAAGTGATTCACTTTTTTTGGAACATCTCTCATATATTCATGTAGTTATTTATTATCTACATATTTGTATTGAAACTAGTTTCGACATATAATCGTTAGTATTTTTAGACGTTTTAACGATATTTACTATACTTATGACACCACACAAACTCTTCTATCTCACCAGTTTGGATAATCTCCAGTACTGTCATGCCAGATGGTGATAGACTCAAGGAAGCCTATACTTCCTATTGTTGTCACTAGGAAATAATCCTCATTTCCAGCTCTGAACAACTCTGCATTCCTATTTCTGCGTTTCAACTGTTGGGATTCACTCGATCCCTTTGTTCCATTCAGTTGAATAAACACATTGGCGCTGGTGCTTGCATCCTGTTGCCAACCTGTTACTATGGTAACAAGATAACAATGACGCTGCAATGAATTATTGTCTTCCAGTCTAGTTTTCTGGAAATGGAAGAGAAGTCATTTTTTTGGCTTACATCTAAGATACAATGTGATATAGCTTTGTAAAACAAATCGCAGGTCATGATAATCCATCTCTAATGTCATGATTTTCAATACAATTGTTGAAAAGTTGAACGATTTTTGGAACTAATGTATGAGTTTTATTTTACTTGAAAAAATGAAATATTTCAAAGTAAAACCAGTACAGTTTTAGAATGTTATGAAATAACACAAATTTGTAAAACTGGCACAAAAATGGCATTTCAGAAACATGCAGATTTCGAGTTAAGGCTATATTTTAATGATATGAACAAAACCAGACCATCATTGTTCTCACTCTCAAACCTCTTTAGATGGCATAGTGCTTACATGTAAAGTATCTTTCCTGTCATATTGCTTTGCATATACTACAAGTATGATATACAAGAGCCATACGGCTGATATGACACTGGCAGTCACCGGGTTATTTGAGGAGGGCAAGAACACATTTTCATGACCGAGGTGGTACACAACATTTGGAAGCACGGAGATGCTACCGGAAAATGTTGTCATATGGTTACAATCACAAAATAAACCACCCGGGGTAGCTAACGGTGACACCTGAAAAAGAATACTGATTTTAAGTTCATCAATTCTTTAAATTGTATTATTATGTTGTATTTGTTATGTAACTTAATCATTGCAACTCTGTCTCTGGTGAGCAAATATACAATGTAATAAGAATAACCAGAGAAAGTGTAGATGACACTATCAAAATGCACTTGTCTAGCTGTGTACAAAAAAACGATCAATACAAGCTCTGTACCACAAAGTCTGGTACTATAGTTTGACATGTTTGAGGCATTACTTTTATCAGTTTAAAATTAATGCTTTAAATATCATCCTGAAAACTGTATATTTTCATAAATACCCCTCATGCCTGTTTACCTCTATTTTAAAAAACTTAAGATCTAGTATTAATCTAATTTAGGAGCAATTGCAAAAGGGATTCCTGCATATATGAAAAATTTATTGAAATCCATGAATTCTATATCGAAATAGAAATATAGACATGTTTGCCTACTCTGTTCACGAAAGAAACTTCACAAACACACCCTTGAATCAACAGAACAACCAAATGCCAAATGCCATGGGAAAGCACGATCAAGACCCCTCTGGACTTTTTTTGCATATTGAGTTTCACCACATATGTACCCATCTACTTACCAAAGAAGTCCCAAATCCCCCTCTATCAGTGTTAATTTTGCGATTGCGCTGGTCGATCTAATTATTTCCAAAGAAATTAATTCAAACTGAAGTTTGAATATTCCGGGAAAGTCCTCCTGTTATCTGATTGGTCGTTGAATTTGTTTATCATAAACCTGATTGGCTGCCTGGTTCAAGGTGCTTGTGGGCGCTTGTGTGACTCAATGGGGATTACCCTCGCTAGCCGAGGAATCGATTGTGTTTAATTCTGAGTTTGGTTGTTCTTTTCTCAAGATATATCCATGGTATCATATGTGAGATATGATATGAGCAATAACAATAGGACATCATTGATTCACGGTCTGGGGGAGAAACCTATGGCATAATGCATCTTTAACAATATTTTAACATCATAACTTACACCACACCCGCCATCACTCCACACCTGCAATGACTCATTCCAAAACAGACAGTTTAAAGTATAAATTCCAATGTCCAGCCCTACAAGGGCCGAGGTTTCATTTTCAGGAATTCCATTAGCATTTCCCGGACTTGTGTTTTCAAGGAGTATACCTACAAATAAAAAAAGCATCATTTGTGACTTTTCTAAAGACGAAACAATATCTAACAACTAAATGAATTCAACTGTATGTGTTGGAAAGATACCTTACCAATAAAAAGCGACCTGTTATGGTTCGATCTAGGCACATGTATAACATTAGGGTGAGCTGTTTTATTAGTTCTGGAACGATAAAGTGTCTCAGCATCATGTGGTATCCTTGTGGCATTACTATTCATATCATCCATATCTGGTCTATCACCCTCTTTAATATGCACCTTCACAGTAATTTTTTCCATGACAGGTTCAACATTTATAATGGCGGCACTTCCCTCATCAACATGAAATTCAACAACGAGTATATCTCTTTCTTTAAATTCTGACATTGACACCGGAAGTTGGACTCTATCCATTTGAGGTATATCTAAAAAACAAATGCTTTTACATTTTAAAAGGGTACATAATAATACTCATCTGGTGCATTTATGGTTTAGAACACTTCGAAACTGAAGGCCTGATAACAGAGTCTGCTTCCAACACCCCCGTTATTACATTTAACAAACATTCAATTTTCCTTAGTAAACCTATCTAGTTAACCATGGACTTAATGTAATATATCTACATGTGTTGATTGACCATATCAATTCATTAATGTGTCATGAGGTAGATTCAAAGTGATCGGTATGTGTAAATACTGATTATGTTGTACTTTGGAATGATAGGAATTATAGTACCATGGGTACTGGGCTCACATGGTGTTGTGTAACTAGTTTCCTAGACAAAAAAAATGAAAATTCAAAACAAAATTTACCCGAAATGCCCCAAAACTAATCAGTTGTTCAGTTTTAAACCGAGAAATATCCCTGAAAATTTCAGATCAATCCATCAAATGGGTTGGCTTGAAGTTGAAACCTGTAAACAAGTCTTTATGGACAAGATTTTAGGATCGAATATCCGAAAATGGCCGACAATATCATGTTTTCTGTATTGATAATGAACATAGTAACATAAAAATAAATCCCATTGACAGGTTTTAAAATGTGATACAAATTGTTGACAGAAAGACACAAGGTGAATTTCCCTTATCAAAAATGGGGTCCATTTTGAAAATAAGCGAGCTTTTGAACAAGGAGCCACATTTTTATAATTTATTTTTTGGAATCACTTTTGAAACAGTGACATACACATTAAAATGTGATGGATCCACATACAAACATGCTTATACAATTACAGTCAAAATTAAAATACATATGAATGTCGCAAAAATTACATCAATCCTTATTTCCCAAGTCGATGGAAAATTTATCACCCAAAGTCAGGCATATTTTGATCGGAATATAAGCAAATATAAGGCTAGACAATTGTTCATTACAGGAGTGTATAACATACCTAGCGAAGCATTTGTATGGACGTCTATGGAAAAGTAAGCAAGCCATATCCAACGATATTGCCTGATTACCCCGATATAGCCCCCTTATCTCGTTTTGATACTAGATTCTTTAATAACCATGTCAATATCATGACGTCATGTTTTATTTCGATCAAATTCCACTCGCACACAGATGTGTGACGTACTTGATACAAAGTAGCCATGAGGGGAAGGGTCGGTATTGATGTTGAACAAAAATAACATAATGCAGAAATCCTATCGACAGACAGCCAGACAGCCAGACAGACAGACAGACAGACAGACAGACAGACAGACAGACAGACAGACAGACAGACAGACAGACAGACAGACAGACAGACAGACAGACAGACAGACAGACAGACAGACAGACAGACAGACAGACAGACAGACAGCCAGCCAGCCAGCCAGCCAGCCAGCCAGCCAGCCAGCCAGCCAGCCAGCCAGCCAGCCAGACAGACAGACAGACAGCCAGCCAGACAGACAGACAGACAGACAGACAGACAGACAGACAGATAATTCATATATTTTATCGGGAGTATATATTTTCCCAATTTTCGAACCTAGCAAGTTTTGCATATTTTGCTCTGGTGACCACACTATTTAGAATTTATTAAGCATTCAAAATTTAAGTTTCGTATTCACGTATAATAGGCCCTACATATTAATTTGCTTTTGTACTTTACTAAATAACTTTACTACACATTTGGAATATAATATGCAATAAAATACTTTTAGACGGGAAGTGTATTGTTATATTCTCTGATAAGTTCTGCACGTTTAATTCATGTCCTCGAGAATCCTTAAGAACAATTCCCATCAGATCAGTGTTCACACTATCAGCACTGGGGTGCCAGTTATACGGATTCTCTTTCATCTGGTACATCTACAATAAACGTAAACATTATATTAAGACAAATTAAACCAGCCATTTAGAAAACAAACCCAAAGCCACGTGTTTAACCGAATGACTCTTTAATGGAATATATTTGCGGGGACAAACTGCAAAACGAAATGCAGTTTCGGAAGTTGTAGTATTGACTCGGGTATTGACTTAACATACAATTGACTTTAAACGTGCGTATCACCATTCAGACATGTGACAAATAGATTCATGACAAACAGTATTGCTAGAATCAATTTTCAATAGTTAAAGTAGTGGTTTTTAAACAGAACATTGGGCTTGCTTTTTGAACTTTTTGTTGGCTATACATGGTTCCCCATTTGAAGAGTGGGTAGCGAATGATCTTTGCCATAAACCCGTATACTATCAAGACAATTCTACCTGATGACTAAAGTCATTGCATTTTGAATACACATGTAATTATATCCCAGTTAAAAATCATCAAGGTGAACAGCCAACTATAATATGACAAAAACAATTCTGGAAATTTGGCGAGTGGAGTTATCACAACGTCACAAATTATAAAAAAAATAGTCACTTTTTCAGTATATTTTTTCCAAACATTTCTATCGGCCAGTCAATTAATTTGTTATCATGACTTTCTTTTGTGAAGCATCACTTACACGAACAACTGACAAAAGCCCCAGTAAAACTGCAAATTAGAATATGACTTATGACATGAGTTATCAGAAAAATAGATTTTTACTTTGTTATTTGTGAAGTTTAGATTTCCTCGACTTAACCCTACATCAAGTTATTATGAAAACCGCTGCAATACCAAATACAAACGTATATAATCCATGTTTACGGGATTGTCATTACGTCAGTGAAGTGAATTATGCTGTTTCTGTGTCAATCTATTTGGAAGATATTGCAGCATAAAAGTTTGGGAGCAAAATTATCTACTTATTGGGTGACCTGTACAAAACAAAAATGAATACACATTTCTGTTATAATTTAGCAAAAAACAGTTTTGTAACTTACATACAGGTTATACACATCATCAAATATATCTTCTTTGTCTGTTGTGTCATTCTGTACCAATTTAAGTGCATGTGCACTTGGAAGTAGCACCGAGGCTAGTTTTGAACCCACTGACATTTCACGATTACCTGTAAAAGATTTTCAAACAACAAATGATTACATGTGCTAAATCTTTCAAACTGAAAGGGTAATACTTATTTTTGATAGCTGTCTGCTTAACATTTTAATTTCTTATATGTTGGTGACCAGTGTCATTGTTGACGTGACTGATCTTGTTTGACACGCGAGACCTTATGATCTTTCATCATCATCTCATGATAATATCAAACACATCGTTTAAGTTTCCGGGTAAGATATCTACACGAGCCTAACGTATGTTACATTAGGTAAAATGACAATATGTTGTTCCAACACATATAAGGGTTTCATGCCCCTTTTTTTATTTGGAGAGTATGTTGTGTAAAATAAAGTGAAACTGAGGGGAATCTAATGACTTAACTTTCCATTTCAGCAGTTAAAATACACTCTTCTTGTGTTGTACTCACCTAAAGACTCTTGCTGCCTTGTAGTCACATAACGGGCCTCTGTCTGTGCAATATTTTGTTCCTCTCCCACTAACATTGTCCTTATGCTTTACTCACCTAAATACTCTGACTGACTTTTTATCACCGTCATATAACGGGCCTCTGTCTGTACAATAGTTGGTTCCTCTCCCACTAACATTGTCCTTGTGCTTTACTCACTTAAATACTCTGACTGACTTTGTATCACCGTCACATAACGGGCCTCTGTCTGTACAATAGTTGGTTCCTCTCCGACTAACATTGTCCTTATGCTTTACTCACTTAAATACTCTGACTGACTTTGTATCACCGTCATATAACTGGCCTCTGTCTGTACAATATTTGGTTCCTCTCCCACTAACATTGTCCTTAAGCTTTACTCACCTAAATACTCTGACTGACTTTGTATCACCGTCATATAACGGGCCTCTGTCTGTACAATAGTTTGTTCCTCTCCCACTAACATTGTCCTTATGCTTTACTCACTTAAATACTCTGACTGACTTTGTACCACCGTCATATAACGGGCCTCTGTCTGTAAAATATTTGGTTCCTCTCCCACTAACATTGTCCTTAAGCTTTACTCACCTAAATACTCTGACTGACTTTGTATCACCGTCATATAACGGGCCTCTGTCTGTACAATAGTTTGTTCCTCTCCCACTAACATTGTCCTTATGCTTTACTCACCTAAATACTCTGACTGACTTTTTATCACCATCATATAACTGGCCTCTGTCTGTACAATAGTTGGTTCCTCTCCCACTAACATTGTCCTAAAGCTTTACTCACCTAGATACTCTGATTGACTTTGTATCACCGTCATATAACTGGCCTCTGTCTGTACAATATTTGGTTCCTCTCCCACTAACATTGTCCCTATGCTTTACTCACCTAAATACTCTGATTGACTTTGTATCAACGTCATATAACTGGCCTCTGTCTGTAAAATATTTGGTTCCTCTCCCACTAACATTGTCCTTATGCTTTACTCACCTAAATACCCTGACTGACTTTGTATCACCGTCATATAACGGGCCTCTGTCTGTACAATAGTTGGTTCCTCTCCCACTAACATTGTCCTTATGCTTTACTCACTTAAATACTCTGACTGACTTTGTATCACCGTCACATTACGGGCCTCTGTCTGTACAATAGTTGGTTCCTCTCCCACTAACATTGTCCCTATGCTTTACTCACCTAAATACTCTGACTGACTTTGTATCACCATCATATAACGGGCCTCTGTCTGTACAATAGTTGGTTCCTCTCCCACTAACATTGTCCTTATGATTAACTCACCTAAATACTCTGACTGACTTTGTATCACCATCATATAACGGGCCTCTGTGATGTACAATATTTGGTTCCTCTCCCACTAACATTGTTCAGGTGTTTTACTCAATGTGGCTTACTTTGCATTAGGTTACACTGTTCTTGCAGTGCACTCATTTCAAGAAGCACAGTCATCAAAGACCATGGCTCTCTGTATGACAGTTTCTGTATAACCGTTGGTTCTTCTCCAACTGATATTGCTCATTTATTTTAATCATCCGAAGACTATGGTTGACTCTGCATTACAGGCGTAGATTGGGCCTCAGTCTGTATAACAGTTGGTTCCCCTCTAACTAACATTGTCATTGCATTCTCCTCACCCAAAGCTTCTGGCCGACTCTGTAATACAGTCATATAGAGAGCATTTGTCTATAATAGTTGGTTCTTCTGCAACTGCACTGTTCCTGTGTTATACTCACCTTATGACCGACTCTGTACTAATGTCATAAAAATGACCCCTCTCTGGATGACAGTTTGTGCTTCTTCTCCAACATGTCCAACTACATGTACATTTGTTCTTGTGTTATACTCTAAAGACTCTGGCTGACTATGCATTATTCATAGAGAGTGCATCTGTCAGTATGACAGTTGGTTTCTTGCAAACTACACCAGTCCTGTGTTTTACCCATCCAAAGACTGACTTTTGTTTGTTTTGCATTACATTTATAAAATGGGTCTCTGTCTGTATAGCAATTGGTTCTTCTCCAACTACATCGTTCTTATATTGTACTCACCCAGACTCTGGTTTTAGTTTCGCATTACAGCCATAAAAGGGCCTCTGTCTGCATAACTGTTCTTTCCTTTCCGACTACATCGTTCTTGTAATGTACTCACCCAGACTCTGGTTTAACTTTGCATTACAGTCATAAAAGGGCCTCTGTCTTCATAACTGTTTCCTCCTTTACAACTACATTGTTCTTGTGTAGTACTCACCTAAAGACTCTGACTGACTTTTTATAACTGTCATAGAAAGGGTCTCTGTCTGTATAACAGTTGGCTCTTCTCCGACCACCTTGTTCTTCAGCACAGCATCAGACACATCTTTCAATACATTCATTGTTGCATATGTGATCTCCTTGGCCTAAAATCAAAGTACCAAGGTCAGGTAACAATCTGACAATAGTGGACCACATATCATCAATTTCAAATGAAAGATTATTCAGTTCTGAATGGAAACAAAATAAAACTTGGTATAAGCTTGGTACAATCAAGTTGCTACAAACCTTTGTTTTTCTACTTTTTGACACATCTAAAAAAACATGATTACTATGACCCAGAACATTTAATAGTCTGGTTTAGTACAAGACACTTTTAGTTATTTTTGATATTTGGGCGTTATTGTGTATAACATGACGCTCTTTAAAAAGAATGGGGACTTATCGTAAAATGAATTGCTTGGATATCTAAGCAAAAAATTCCAAAGGGAAGAATCAATAACCGTTGAGAAACCTAAAAAGAAAACTCTAAGTGTAAACATCTCGAAAAATACCCTTTATACAGGGTGAACCAAAAACAGAACCCTCTAAAAGTGTAATTATTTCTTAAATATCTTATCAACCTAATTTCTATGTGCATGAACTAGAATCTATAGATGATGCAATTAAATTAAAGATGTTAGACAAAATTAATTATTTGTGATACAAATCGTAAACTTGGGATAGAGTAGTTCTATGATCTAAAGCATTAGCGACCCGACCACCTTTGTTTACATTCGCAAAACCATGAAAAAACTAGAAAAATTGTCAAAACTTTTTAAAATTCAATAAATGGAACCGATTTCACTTGTCAGGTACGGGTATTTTAGTTCTACATGAACAAGACGATTTTTATGACGTGGACCGCAAACGTAAACCTACGTTCCCGTTATATGAACAAAAGTGCTTTAAGCTAAGCATTTTAGATACTAAGCAAACGAAAACTTCAAAATGACCTTTTTTGCTAGCGGCTTTTATGTTCAGTTTTCTACATTAGTCTAATGACAAATTGATCAAAAAGTGTTTAACAAAGGAGACGTTTTACAGTCTGGCAGTGTTTTATGATTTTTGAATCTTGAAATATATAACAGGACGCGATTATTTCTTATTCTTATAAAGACCTAAGGGTCAATTGATTGGACAAACACAATATATATAGTAGATTTAAGATGAGTTGACATGTGGGCAATTGCCATGTATGTAATCTCATCAGATTTTACATACGAAATGGGTGCCTCGGTACTCAGCTTATATTTGATTAGATTGGACACAAACAGGGGATAGGGGATCTTTAAATTTCGTCATTATTTTTATTTCCAATCAGTTCAAAGCTAAACATTTTATTTCTGTGCTTAACCCCACATTACAAAAAATCTAGATGGATGAATGCCATTTTATTAGAATTGTGTGTTCTTCAATGTACTGGGAATCTAGATGAGCCTGTTTGTAGATGAGGAATCACCGTAAAACGATTACAGGCTACCGAGTAAAATCACACCTACCTCTCTCTGGATCAAAAAATGGAGGTCGGCGTCCAGTATCTCGGTTTGTACAAGACGAAAATACCGGACGCGTTTCTACTCCCTGACAAATGGTCTCGTATACACAGATTTGTGTCAAACATATCGATACATTTGACTTATATTATATATATCTCGATTGAGCTTGATAAAGTTATACAAATCCTTTACGGAACAACTACCTAGACTTTGATTTCTTACGTTGTGATGAAAGCAAATCGGGAAACAAGTAGAACAATATGACGTCACCTCCTGAGAAAAACCTACGCGCGCCTTTCCGTTCGGGGTTTAGATTGTAAAAAGTAGTGTTGCAATTCAGGACCAGAACACCAAGATATATTTCTTTCTGATTCATACTCAAGTCTTTACAATACATTAAATCAATTAATGTTGAAGAAAAAAACGAAAAAATGATACCCGTTTATAACATCAAAAGTAGTTGTAGATAAACTTGAAACTTCAAAAGTAATGACGTATTTTTCAGCAGAGCCCAACAAGTATTTCTTAAGCTTTTAGAAGTATAACTTTGACCTTAACCTTGACTTTAACAGTTTAAAATATGGTGTCTTGATTTAAAATCTATATATTTCGATCACGCCCTGCTATAGTTTTTCATGCATGTCGCTTGTTTTTCATCTAAAAACGTCAATATACTATAAAACATTTCATTAACTAAACTATGATACAGAAATATATTTCTCATTTCAAGGATAATATAAGTATTAATACTCAAGTATTTTTACTTTTCGAACTTCAGAGGGACGAGAGTCTTTGATAATTTAAGCTTTTGGATAAGATGAATGCTGTTTAAAAATGTTTTACGGTTTTACATATGTCTGCTAAATTGACACACCTGACTAATGATCTGGTCATGCGTCCTCGTGTCCTTCAGTTTTGGTATAGAGCTGTTATTTTCGACGGATATGTGTTGAGAATCCTCCAATGAAGACTTCATAACATTGCTAGCTCCACAGAGTAGAAGACTAGAACACAATACATAGATACATAGTTCCTGCAGTAGTGATTAGTGATGCCTCTCTATTAGAAGCCTTTATAACGTGTGGATATTGACACCCTTGTCGTGCATTGAAGTATTCGTTAAAGTATAAATACTGCCCATGCGTTGCTAAACTAAAAGGGAAATTCCTTGACTCGCATCAGAGGGAATGCCTGTTTTGTATAAGACTTGTTGTTTGTAATAGCATTGTACATGCGTGCACATATCATAATGCTGCACCAAAAGACCAGGGTCACAATGGGCATGGTCAAAATGACCCTACATATGATAAAATATATTTTTCAGCCCTTTTAAAATGAGACTGAAAAATAGATAATAGTTATACTTTCGGAAAGGTGAATGTGCCAAAAATATTGATTTCAATAGTAGAAGCTTTAAAATGTAAAAAATGTCTGAAACTAAAATGGCGTAAAATCTAAATCAAGGTCAAGATAAGAATAGCTAATTCAAGTGAAATACTTACATGATGATGTGTTTTTAATTTTAAAAAAAATCCCATCAAAGGGTCAAGATAAAACGATCACATTTGAGAGAAAATCCTCACACATTATGTTCTCAAGAATATTTTTTATATTTTTCATAAAATCCCATCCAGATATATAGAATGATATATATTTATTGATTAAAATAAATGTTCATGGGTTAAAACAAATATTCTATATTTCTTTGAAATAAAAAGCCATCGTAGAGACTGTATATCAATGATATAATAAAACAAATATTTTATTCTATGTTCGGGCAATACCTATTGCACTTTCAATGATTTTGCAACATGTATTTCCCTCGCCCTACTTGCAGGTGGCAATACATACTGCGAAACGCAGTGAAAGATGAACAGGTATTGCCCTCCATAGAATGAAATATTTGCTTGATATCAAATTCTAATTAAGTTTTGTTTATTGATAGGCGCGCTGCAAAAAAATTGCAGGAATATTATTACTTTACATATACTGTATGAATGCTAATTCGATACATTATGTTAAAAAACAGCTTTAAAGGATTATGAAAAATAATCATATATTCGCCGAAAACATAAGCGTTTATATTTCGGTAACTTTCCAAATGTGAGATACCAGAATTGATCTGACTAGAAGTAATATAAGTTTTTTCTAATATTCATAACTTTTAGAAGGGGTAATTTTGTTTCAAGATCTCGGTAAATGCTAATTGAATCAAAACGTTTTGAAAGTACGCATTAATTAGGAATTGTCCATAAATTGGCTCGTCTAAACACTTATTTTAAAAGTTTGCCAATTCAAAGATCAAATATTTGTCCAGGACCACATAATGTTTGAAATGTGATTGCTTCAATAAGATCACAGATAACAAACAATCATTTGTAATCTACGTCTGTATTCTACCTTGTGATGTCTTCAATTATCTCAGAGCTGGCATCTACTTCATCCTCCATCTTAGACACTAGTGTCCTACTCATGTCTTCAAATGCATGAGATGCTGTAGACTGGACATACGCATAATATGTTAATCAATTTATAACAAAAAACATTTGTAATCTACGTCTGTATAGTCTAACTTGCGATGTCTTCAGTGAGTTCAGAGCTGACATCTACTTCATCCTCCACCTTAGACACTAGTGTCCTACTCATGTCTTCAAAAGCATGAGATGTTGTGGACTGGACATATGCATAATATGTCAATCAATTTATAACAAAAAACATTTTTAATCTACGTATGTATAGTCTACCTTGCGATGTCTTCAATGAGCTCAGAGCTGACATCTACTTCATCCTCCAACTTAGACACTAGTGTCCTACTCATGTCTTCAAAAGCATGAGATACTGTGGACTGGACATACGCATAATATGTTAATCAATTTATAACAAAAAACATTTGTAATCTACGTCTGTATAGTCTACCTTGCGATGCCTTCAATGAGTTCAGAGCTGGCATCTACTTCATCCTCCATCTTAGACACTAGTGTCCTACTCATGTCTTCAAAAGCATGAGATGCTGTAGACTGGACATACGCATAATATGTTAATCAATTTATAACAAAAAACATTTGTAATCTACGTCTGTATAGTCTACCTTGCGATGTCTTCAATGATCTCAGAGCTGGCATCTACTTCATCCTCCAACTTAGACACTAGTGTCCTACTCATGTCTTCAAATGCATGAGATGCTGTCGACTGGACACATACGTAATGAAATTGGTAAATTACCGTTTAAATACATTTCGAAGCGCTAATAACAGGGCAAATATAAAATAATTATATTTGCATTATGGACGTTAAAGCATATTGTTTATTATTATATTGTATTATATTACCTTTGTAGTGGGTGTAAGTTCTTCACTTTCAACTGTTATGCTATGCATGGCCCATGCTTTCTGTTTCAAAACAGTTAGATCATCTACGCCAGTATTAGCCAGTGATGTCACAATGGAATTACGTATCTTGAAAATAAATGTTATGCGTTGATTAACCCATGTTTTGATTAACATTCAGTATTTGTAAACCATTTGGTTTTCAGGTTAACTTACTTGCCTATTATTCCTGTTTCAAACTGACAAAATGAGATTGATCTAAAAGACACGTGTGCTTGTGGAAGTGATTTTTGCACATAAATGTAATGGTAAACATACATATAATATGTACAATAAAGAGAACATACAGTTTTTCAACATAGCATGTCCCGTCAAAGCCCCAAAAAGTCAAGATGATTTAAAATTATAGCTTTAAACCAGAATTACTTTTAATATATCATATTCCTACCAGGCTTCTTTGCTCCAACATGGCCATTGTTTCATGGTAAGTAACGTTTGTATTTGTGGTGTTCTCATGTGACTCCACGTTTAATATGGTGGACACTGTGAAAACCAATTGACTGGCAGCTGAAATAAACGTTTTGTTAATAATAATAATGTTTATTTCAAAACTTCTAAGGCCACAGGCCTCCTAGTTACAATTAATTTTCATACAATTTTAGACAGTGATAAGCAAAACAACTTAAATTACAAATTAAGTTTTCATTTTCAGTTGACATTAACTGTATAAATTTTACCATATTTGGTCTATAACAATAATAATCTGGCAAATACATTTTTCTTAGAGATCTGAATTTCTCACATATCATAACCATGTGGTACTCATCTCCAATAATATTAACATTTGCTGCTAAACAGAACTTACAAAACCGTAGTTCCCTGGGCACATTATTTCTTCGACCCATTTCAATTTCTAATGAATGATTACTACATCTCAATCGAGTTAGAGCAACTCTAAATTTATTTATATTTACACAGGAAAGATATTTTTCTCTTTCCATCACTGTTTTAATATTACAATATGTTACCATTTTTGGTAATTCTGAAAGTCTAGCAGCCCACTCTTGACAGTAAATGTATTTTAGCCTCTGCTTAAAACTTAAAATAAAAAGGTCCACATCACCTACTTCTTTGAAACTCCAAACATCACCAAAGCCATTTGTACACAATAACTTTCTAACATGTGTTGCCCATGTAATATGGCCTGTTGAATCAAGGTTCTCTAACATAGAATAACAATGTTTTGGGATTCTTCCATTTTCCATCTCCATATTTAGTTTTAACCAATATTTTACACATTTTGACATATATATTGTACATAATGGGTATCGTCCACATTCCCCTAGAACTGCCTCATTTGTTGTTTGTGATGCAACTTTAAGAAATGATTTACAAAATTTTCTTTGAACCTTTTCCACTTGGTCGTAAACTTTAAAACCCCATATTTCTGAGCCATATGTTAAAATAGGAAGCGTCAGAGAATCGAAAAGTCTGAATCCCATTTCAAATGATAATGAGCCACCTAATTTTGAGATTTGGTTTATGACATGTAGTGACTTTCCACCTTGATTGGCTAGTGTTTTGGTTGCGACTGACCAGTTTAACCTAGAAGAAATCATTAAACCCAGATATTTGTAATAAGAAACTATTTCTACATTTTTACCCTTGTATAGCCATTTTTCATCCTTTTTAACAATACCACCATTTCTAAATACAATGATTTTAGTTTTCGAAAGGTTCACATTCATGCCAAATTGATCACAAAATTCTGATAGTATATTTAGCTGATTTTGCATATTTTCAACAGTATGATTTAAAAGACCAATGTCATCTGCGTATAAAAGTATATGTACATTATCCACACTTTCTGTTACAAATATTCCTTCAATTTCTGAACATTTATACATTTTTACTAACTGTTCTAAATATAAAATGAACAGAAAAGGGCTAATCATACAAACTTGTCTTGTACCTACTTGGCACATAAATGATTGGGTAAGACCATCTGGTGTTCTAACACATGATTTTAATTTACAGTACATAGATTGTAATGTTTTGAGAAAAGCTCCATGAACATCCTCCTTAATTAAGTTATACCACATTTGCTTATGAGGAATAGAATCAAATGCCTTGCTAAAATCAACAAATGCTATAAAACAGCGCCCTCTGGATTTACATAAATATTTTTCTACCATAGCAGAGAGACTAAATATATGATCATAAGTGCTTTTGCCTTCTTGATATGCTCCTTGATGGTCACCTATTTTGTGATTTGTTTTAGCCCACTTAATAAATCTATTCGCTAGAACCTTTGTAAAAATCTTACCAAGTGTACAAAGTAAAGATATACCCCTGTAATTATTAACATTGTCAACTGGTGTTTTTTTTAATAATGCTGCAATGATAGCCTCGCTCCACAAGTTTGGAAAGTAGCCATTTGACATGATAGAATTGAACAATAAATGAACATATGGCATTAAAGTGTCATAACTATGTTGATACATCTCATATGTGATCCCATCTATACCATGGGCTTTCTTACTTTTTAAATTTGTAATTACATTTTCAATTTCCACTACAGATACAGGGTGTCCGGAAAGTAAAGATACAAATGCTCTTATTTTAAGAAATTTGGGTTTTTTGAAATAAAATTGCTACAGAATGTAGAGGAACAATACAACAATATATCTACCAACTTTCATCACATATAGTCTTAATGTGTTTAGGTTACGGTTGTTATGGTTACAGATGTGAGGGGTATGCGGAGCAGTTCCAGAACAACACTAAAAAGTTAAAATTGCTAAAAGACAACCATTTGAAACAGTGTTTTTTTGTTGTATTTTCTATCTATGTTTTTTTGTTCATCATTGTATTATTGCTGCCATAGTGTTTTCTATTATATAATGATGTCATTGCTACATATCAGAACTATGTTATGTCACTTACCAGTATAATGAAAGAAATATTATACAAGTGCCTAGAAGAATGGTCCATGGCCATTAATAGAAAAGTCAATATTGCATCTCCACAATCCACCAATTCACAAAGCAAAAAACAAATCTTACAATGGAGTGTCTTGACATTAAACCTTTCTATACAATGCCCCATATTCACCTGATAAAGCCTATTTAGACTTCTACCTTAATGACCATTTGAAAGCAATATTTGTTAAAAGGTCAACATACAAATTAGACTCAGCTGGAAGCCAATGTTATCAGCAATCTGAGAGTAGGACAGCAGCGGTTTTGTCAGTTCTTTGAACCGCCGGTCAAGATGCACCAAGAATGTATATATAATGGGGAAAATACTGAATATTCAATGATAGCAGTAATATGAAATGATCAGATAATGTTACATTACTAATCCCATATGCTGTTGTGCTACATAATTTGATATAATATAGGAATACAGTTCAGTTCATCTGGTAAATTTTGTAAACATTGATTGCAATCATTTTGGTCATGATTTTTGAGAAAGTCATCTACAACATTTTGAAAGTCTTTATCTATATCGGAATCTGTAGTAAGCAAATTTTTGAAATACTCATACCATTCGACTGGTGAAATATGACCTTTTGTTTGAGACCCTTTTACATACTTAATCAATTGCCATAATTTATTTACATCATTCATACAATCTCTACATTTGCTCATAAATTCATTTTCATATACCTGTTTCTTATTTCTACATAATAGCTTGAACTCTTTTTTGATTGTTATATAGGCAATTAAAGATTCATTTGATTTTGAATTCCTATAATTAAGAAGACTATTTATTTTCCTTTTCTTTAATTTTGCACAATCACCATCCCACCAATCATCAGTTTTTGTATTTCGATTCCTCGGTTTAACTTTCATGCACTCAGCTCCATAGTTAATACATTTCACAATTTTATCAACAGCACCATCTATGTTTCCATTTTGAATCATATCGTTAAATCCTCTTAATATATTTTGGGATGTTTGGTCACGAATTTTGCTTTTAAATATATTGACTTTATCAGGCTTCCAAATAAACCTGTCATATTGTCGCATGTTTTGTTGATCATTTCTATTTGCTGAATGTAACATCAATTTGAGATCACAAGTTATTGGAAAATGATCCGTTCCTTCAGATGTATTAATATTGCCCACAGTGAAATTATTTATAAAATTGAAGAGGTCTGATGAGCATACACCATAGTCAATGACGCTGCGCCCCGTGGATGTGTTTATATATGTGTAGTTTCCATCTTTATCCCCCGAAAAACGACCGTTCAATATATGGATATCACATTCTTTACAAACTTCTAAGAAGGTTCTGCCAAACTCATTTGTAGTGTGATCACTTGAACTTCGTGGAAGTGAAAAGGTATCAACATCATACCAATCAGCACCAATCGGCAAATTTTGAATATCATCATTTAATATACAGTCACACTCATTCCCGGTTCTCGCATTCAGGTCCCCCATAATAAGAAACTTGCAATCTCCAAATGTTGCTTTAATATGCCCGATTTGTTGTTCCAAACAAATAATACCATTATCCTCACCAATTCTCCAATATGTTTTTGAATACTGGGGTGGCAAATATAGAAATATAAGAAAAACATCGTAAGTATATCCCGTCAATATTGTTGGGGCTTTCAAAATGATCATTAATTCAGACGAAATATTTTCCATGTATACTAATTTGCCAGCTAATCCTTTTTTCACAAAAACACTAATGCCACCAGGATATCTCCCTCTCGTACCACGACGTTGAGAAAATTGTCCAAAATGTGTGAATCCAGGCAAAAAGTCATCATACTCAGTTTTACTTTTAGCCCATGTTTCTGACAGTGAGACGATGTCAAAGTTTTCAACGAAATCCTTTATTTGATTTTTGCTTGTTTCACATTTGATTTTGCCTTGGATGTTCCATGCACATAGTTTCAAATTTGAGAAGACATGTGGCCCTATTGGTTTGACCCTTGATTTTCACCAGTGTTTCCTCTACTTAGTCTGACGAAACTATCAGTAACTTCATCATAGCCATACATGACACCATCTATTTTCAATTTATCATAGTTAAGAGAGGCTCGAGTATGGGGAATAGACTTCTTAAATTCTAGCAGTTTTTTCCTAATATCCCGAACACGTTTTGAAAAATCTTCTGATACTGATATAGGGGTCCCTTTCAGATTTTTGGCTGCTTTAAACACTCTGTCTTTATCCTTATAAGAACTCAATTTAACAATAATTGGCCTCCCCTTTCCATTGGTCATGGGATCCTTGTATTGACCAATACGGTGTGCTCTGTCAATGTTAATGTCTGGCAGGTTCAGTTTGTTTTTAAAAACATCTTGAACTTTATCTTCCGATGTATCCCAGGTTTCATGTTGCCTGTCCTCGATTCCAAAAACAATTACATTTTCCCTTTTTGACCGATTTTCAAGTTCATCAATTTTGTTCTCGAGTTTATTAATGCATTTCTTACTTTGTTCAGCTTCTCCTTTCAACTCGGTAACTTTGTTTTCTAGATCACTTAACCTAGTCTCCATACTATCAAAACGATTATCTAAAGTTGTGAAGCGATTTTCAATTTTT